GCTTTCCTTCCCTCCCTTCTGTGTGTACTGAGGACTAAACCCAGGGGAACACTTCAGGCATGCTAGACAAGTGTTCTGCCATTGAGCTACACCCCTTTTTTATTTTTATTTTTATTTTTTTTTTGTGCTTGTTCTGAAGCAGGTTCTTGCTAAATTGCCCAGGCTAGTTTTGAATTTTCTATCCTTCTGCCTCAGTTTCCAGAGTAGCTGGAATTGGTAGGCATGTGCCACTATACCTGGTTTCCAGTAGTGTTTTTGATACATATTGAGCCACAGTAGCACAGGCCTGTGTTTATGTTACAAGCTAGTAGATGTGAAGTTACTAAACAAAAAACATCCAGGTGTGCTGGATGGCACTTGACATCAGTGATATCCAACCATCTTGGTTTAATTCAGTATGTCGTATTAGCTAAGATTAAATTCTAGCTTAATAGGCTGCTTAAATTTTTAGACATTGTTCACATGTCTAGAATGTTCACATTTGGCTATGAAGAGGTTGAGTACATGTAGTACATTTTCATTTTAGGTGAGCAGTATATACCTCAGTGGTTTGGTTTATTATTTAACATCTGACCTGTTTATTAACATTACTGTTTTTGTTTTCTTTTTTGGTACCAGGAATAGAACTCAGGGCCTTGTGCTTGCCAAGGCAGGTGGTGTGCTGCATCCCTGCCCAACTTTCCTGTTATTTAATTTCTGTATATTTCTGTCTGAATTTGTAGAAAAACTTATGACCTGTTTAAACAGTCCTAACTTTAAAGGACCTTTATATAAGTGACAGTTTAGCAATACTGCTGGGCAATAGGCAATCCATACTACTTTGTTTTCTAGCAGCATATCATGTGAGGCCATCAAGAGTATTGGCTCAGTACTTGGGTTAAGAGTACTGGCTCAGACACCAAATGTTTTATTCCTTATCCTCAATATTGTTTTTGTTGATTCAAAAGATTGCTTTTGGCTTTTAGATGAGAGGATAATGGAGGGAGACTCTTGTCATGTATAGTTAATGAAGAAGACAAAAGAACTTAGTGAGGTGTGGAGTGAAGGTCTTCACATTCTGCCTGGCTCTAAATCCCAGTCAGGTTTTCTTTACCTGGCTAGACACTAAGCTAGTTGCTGGGCACAAGGGAAGGTGAGGAAGGATGAAGATGTGTAGAGAGGTCACATAGCTTTTAAAGTACAAGGAATCTTTTATTAACAGATGGGAAATAGAATGCATGTAGATTGCTCTGTGTTGTATACTGATTTTTGTGTGCATTAATTTTAGATGAATTTTATTATTTTAACAACTTCATTGTGCTTTCAGTAAAGTTAACTTAAAATATTTACTTCCAGGATCATTCTCATAGTCAGTCTTACAGAATGAAGAAAAGATCTTTTGGCTCTCATAAAGACCTACTGGTTAGTTCTGCTTTGTGTGTCATTTCATAAGTTTTCTGATTACTTTAGAAAGTAATTACTTTAGAAAGTAATCAAAAGAGTTATGACTCTTTTGATATGCCCCAAAGACATTATGGAAACTTTTTAAGGTGCTGAAACATCATACATTGGGATCTTATTAAAGGAATTTCGTTCTTATTCGTAAGATTTAATGGCAAATTAATAAACCCTAATTCTAAGGGGAGGTAGGTTGGTTAGTAAGTTAATCGCAAGATGCTTATGAAGGGGGTAATTTTTATTTATGAGCTGTTCTTTGGAATATATCTCAAGAATGAGTTTTGTCAAAATTCATTCTTGTTTTAGAAACTCTGAATTGATTTAGTTTGATATTGTGGGCCATGCCAATCTTTAAGTAACTTTCATTCTCAAAATTTGTGTTTTGGGGACTGAAATACACACACACACACACACACACACACACACACACACTAATGTATGTATTTTTTGTAGAAACTAGTGAAATATGTAATGGCAGTGTTCTCATATTAGCTTACAGAAAATTCTTTAAACTATAAGTAAACTGTAGCAGTACTTAATGTGGTCTCCATTCTCATCACCTTGCTAAACATTTCTGTAGGAGAAAAATGTTTATAGAATACTTTCTTGGGGCATTAGAGATACCTCTTTCCTGTTACAAGACTTGCAAAAGGAGTGTAGACCTAAACTCTCTGCTAATTCAAGATTCCCTTGGGAGTGGTAGGATAGGGATTTGGGAGGAGTTGGGAGGTGCTGGCTGGTGGAAGAGCCTGGGAAGGGAAAATGTGATGGAAGGAAGCTGAGTCAGAGGCTTTGGCAGTTTCTGTTTTTAAGAGCTATGGGCAGTGATCACCCTTAGTGAGGATATGAGTGAAGAGTGAGTGATCCAGGAAGGCAGGGCCAAAAGTTGTAGAGGTGGGGTGGTAGTAGAGTGTCCCTGATTGTAAGATTGGCAGTGAAAAAAGAAGACTTTTAAACTAGAGGTTGTTTAGGCCAGGGTTTGATCCCCAGCATGCCAGCTTGCCCCACCCCTGGGAAGTGCTGAGACTGATTGAGACTGGGTGTGATAGTGTGTACCTGTAATCTCAGCTCTTGGGAGGCTGGAAACAGGAGGATCACTATGAATCTGATCTGTGTAGTGAGACCCTGTACACCCTGTAGACCCTGCTGTAAATTAGTTCAAAAAAAATTAAAATAAACTAGAGGTTGCTTAAAATGTACTTTAACACTGGGTAAAAATGATGGCTACAAAAGTTAGAAAAAGAATTTTATAGATAATTTAATTCAAGTAATCCCAATGTATAAAATTGTTTTTTATACAGGGTATTAGAAATTAACCTGCTATGGATGTTTTAGACCAAACCATATGTAGTATGTGCATCTTCTTTCTCTTCCTCCCTCCCTTTTGTAATTTAATTTCATCAGTTTATTTTGACAAATAATGGGAGTAGGAGAAGTTGAAATCAAATAACTCTAATCATATCTGTAGTTTTGCCAGATGGATTATAAAAATGGTAATTACTCATCTGTTCTAGATTTTTCAAGGCCATTCTTAAGTATGAAATGAGAATAAATTATTTCTATTTCTAATTGTCTACTGGTTTATTTTTTTTAAGTAATAAGATACTAGCGATGACTTGAAAATGTTTAAATTTTAATACTTTTTTGATAGATTTGAAGTACTTATTACACTGACTTTTTCTTAATGTAATCAATCTAGTGCTTTAGAAATTGTTTTAAAGAAGGAAATTTGGCAATATCACATTTTGGCTGTATGTGTTCAGATTTTTATATGTGTTGTTATGTCAGCAACATTTAACATAGGAAAATGTGTTTAATTTTGCTTTTTCAGAGTGGCCTTTACTTTGATCAGAGGAACTATAGCAGTCTTAAACATAGCAAACCTACCTCTGCATACTACATTCGGGTCTGTCTAAAATTTTTTTTTGCTTCATGTGTTTTATCCATTTTTGTTTAACACATTTCTAATCCCCCATTTTGCACTTTGACTAGTTGTAACTAACAGAAAAATGGCTGTGTACATACCAGTTTTTGGTCATTGAATTCATATAGTCCATGTGAGAGTGCCTTCAAATGAAATTAGTGAATCAGTAGGCACAAGTACATTTCATAGGATAGGTACCCTTTCAAAAAAATTTACACATGGAAGTATAAACTATATATGAGATGAAAAGAATGTAATTGTTGGTTTAATGTTAGACTTGTTTTTAAAGCATTTGATGTATCATACATTTAAAACATATTCACGTATGGCACACGGTCATTTAGAATAATTCAGGGCTGGGGCTGGGGCTCCATGGAGAGCACTTGGTGAGCATGTTCAAACCTCAGAACTTGGGGGTGGTTGTGACCTTGTAAAACTTATACACATAATTTCAGTACTCATATTTTCTATGTCTGAATAGGTTTGGTGAAAAAGATATGAAAATTATGTTCTCAAGTGACATCAGGAAATATTTTATTCCTTTAAAAAATATGCTGGAGACAATGAGGAGGATGAGAGAGAAAGTGAAGGAAAATAAATTAAGATTTGTTATATACATGTGCCAACACCTCACAGTTGATATAATCATTGTATATTACAAATGTGTACTAATGAAAATTTTTTCAAAATTTAAGAAGCCATGTTCTTTCAGTACATGGATTCATTGTGATTGGTACAGTTTATCTGATTAAACAAAAGCAGATTGTCCACAGCTTGTTTTGACATAACAGTTTTCTAAACTGTTTGGAAAAGAGTATTTGTGGCTATTTTCTCCCAGTAGCTAGTCTGAACCCATTAGAAATTTGTCATGACATCAATGAAAGTATCATAAAAACTGCTGGTAAGTGAGACATGATAGCTATTTGCCACACACTCAGTGCCATCCATGGTCTTCTTTTCCTCAATATTTTATTAGGTTCCCGTCTCATATCCTAGCAATAGTATTCAGAGACTCATAGGATTTAGACACATCTGTCAAAAACTATAGCATGATTTTTATTCTCATTCCTTCAGTTGATATTTTAAAAAAGTTTCTAATATGTTTCTTACTGCATGTGTTTCTAAACTAAGCAAGCAGGAAGTACTAATAACGTATAGATTATAAAACTGTAAGCTTCTTGCTGTCAAGTTGCTGAGACCAAATTTTGTTTTTGCTTATTTATTTTGCTTTGTTTTTCTTTCTTAGAACTCTTCTTCCCTCTACAGTGACCCTTTGGCAACATCTAAGAGTAAAAGGGTTAGTACTTTCTGTAGAGTATGTTTTCCTTTAGAACTACCAGTTGCTTTTCTTCAGGTTTAATAATGCATTTTTTTCATAGGCTTCTCCTACTTCAAATTCTGGTTTGCTGAGAAGTACTAGTCTGGTTTGTATTTTCCTCCTCTGCTATGTATGCTGCTGTGGGGCTGCAAATGTGGTGCTTTGTGTTTTAAAAGCTTTCTTCCATAGTAGTCTAGGACAATAGGCTTTACGTGCCATGTATACTGAGAAATGTACTATCAGTGCTTAAAATATTAAAACTTAAGGGCATTAAGAATAGAGATATTCTCTTTATAGAAGTAGACACTGCTGACTTGCGTAGAATCTGTTTCCTACAAAAAAGGTAGATTTATATGTGTCTCACCACATGAACTTTTGTGAAATGGCTGCCCATGGAAAGGATGTCCTATTTTTCTTTGGGATAGCTTGAGTTAATCTTTTTTCTAATAAAGCATGCTGCTTAAAAGCTAAAGTAGTAGTTCTGTGTAATATGAAAATTGTTGTTTGGTTGCTATCAAGCTGTTATATTGTGAGCAGTGCTAGCAGACTGGGATGCTGAGATTTTATAACTTAATTTTATTGTGACAATTGGCAGAATGTTCCCTAATCCCAGTTTCTTTTTAAAATAATTCTGAGTTCTCTTAGTTTTGTAATGTGATGGTGAAAGTAACAGTGGTGCTATTATAATGAAATGTGAGTTTGACGCTATGAGACTAATTAAGCAATTTGTGCACACAAAAAAGCATTACCAGGCCAGCGAGATAACTCAGTGGTCTAAAGTGCCTGTTTAGGCAAGCTTAGGCACTCGCAGGGACCTTGGTTCGATCCCTTGCACCACATGCTGTACCAGCCCTGCCCCCAGGTGGGCTGAGCTGGCTACCAAAAAAAAAAAAAAAAAAAGTTACCACCTATAGTCTTCATTCTTCAAAACTTTTGCAACTGAGTACTGGAAATAGAAAGTTATTTTCGAAACAACCTTATGCTAAATAGATAAATGGCATTTCTTTTGTTCTTTAGGCATCATTATACAGTGGTGGATTATATAACCCTTATGGTTCTCGAACTGTAAGTCTATATGGGGAAGTTGTGAGGGGTTACGATATGGGAGAGCATAGGTTACTTACAAAGAAAATGTTATTTAATCAGAATTGTAATTACAAGATGTGATTTATTCACTCAACTAGCCAATTGTGACTCTTACCCAAACTTTGCTAAAGGGGCTGTTTGAATCGTGGCTTAAGTATGAGGCGAGAGAGTAATCTCTTGTGACTCAGTAGCTTTACCTGAACAAATCTAAGCAGCTCTTCTTTTTTACTTTGTGTGTGTGTGTGTGTGTGTGTGTGTGTGTGTATGTCTTTTTTCAATTTATTACCCTTTAAAAAAAAAAAAGCCTTTACTTGAGAGACATTATGGCAATAAATGGTATGTCATGACAAGAAGTACATATTTAGAGGACCAGGATGGCAAGCACTCCAAGTGTAAGCAGCTCTTCTTAGGGCAAGCCTGTTCTCTCCTCTCAGAGAGCTGGTAGACCCTGGGTGGTGGGAATAAGGTTGAGTTCCAGACCAGAGAATTACTTTCACCCTGGGAGTATGGGTCAGGTTAGGCCTGTGGTCACTACTGTATTCCTTAAAGAAAAGGCAGTTGCTCACTACTGATTGTAAAGCCCTTCTTCTTGTAAACTTTATAGCCATCTGAATACAGTTATTACTCATCAAGAACAAGTTCAGCCCGAAGCAGTCCTGTGGTGAGCTGTGTAGTGTCTTTGCATGCTATAAATAGAATTTTTTGGTTTGTCATTAATGTGTATGCACTGGTTAGAATATTGAGGATGTGTAATGTTTCACTCTTGTGCATGGATTATGGTATTCCCTCAGTATACAAAATTAAGTACAGTACTAATTAATTGGTGGTTTCTGTTTGAATGTGACTGAGCACAGATTTTTCTTTTCTTTCTTTTTTTTTTTTTTTAAAGACATGGTTGAGGTCTGTAGTCCAGGCTGGCCTTGAATTAACTGGGTAGCCCACGTTGGCCTCAAACTCATGGTGATCCTCCTGCCTGAGCCTCCCAGATGCTGAGATTACAGACATGCACCACCCTACCTAGCAGCACATAATTTTTTTCTCTCTCTTTTTTCTTTTCTTTTCTTTTCTTTTCTTTTCTTTTCTTTTCTTTTCTTTTTTCTTTCTTTTTTCAGAACCAGGGATTTGAACTCAGACCCTTACGCTTGCCAGGCAAGCACTTATTTTACTGAGCCATCTCCTCAGCCCCTACATAATTTCTTAAGCCAGTCTGGAATCATCAGCACTAGAAAATTTTCAAGTATTTATATTTAGTTGTTGTGTCAAATATCTTGTGTTCTTAGCAGTAGTAACTCATTGTTGAGTTAGCTACCCATTTTTCCTTTTTGTCTTCATACATGTAGCCATTTTACTTGCTAACCAACACTTTTGTTATGGGATAGAAGAAAAAAATAAACCAAGTTTTAAAAATTGTTGTATAGAAAACAAAACAGGGCTGGGGAGATAGCTTGGTGGTCTAAGTGCCTGCCTGGCAAGCATAAGGACCAAGGTTCAGTCCTTGGTACTGCATGGTGTTCTTGTTCCGGCCCTGGAGCCCTGGGCTCACTGTGCCAGCCACCAAAGCCAGGTGTGGTGACACACACCTGTGGTCCCAGCACTGGGGAGGCTGAGGCAAAAGGATCAGTATGAGTCTGAGCTGCATAATGAGACCCTGTATCTAAATAACTAAATGAATGAATAAAAGATTAGAAAACAAAATGGTGACAATTCTAATTGTCTAGCCTTTCTAAATTTAGTTTTCAATTTATAAAAGTAACATGAATTAAAGAAAATGCAAAGTAAAAGCCTCCAGCCCAAGCCTCAGATAGAACCAATTTTCCTTTCCGAGTGTTCCTATATATGATTGCTTTTTATTTTTAACATGAATATCGCTTCCTAGTGTTTTCTTAAAATATTTTCCTATATCTATTCATATAGAATTGTTGCATCTTCTTTTCATATTAATTTTTTCAACAAGTCATGCCCCTTTTTCTATTTAATTCCTCTAGAGGTAGTTTCATATTAGCATAGTCTTTGTAATGACAATATATTATTCTATCGGTACATAGGTATGCATTTTGTTTTTTATTTTTATCTTTTTTTTTGGTACCAGGAATTGAACTCATAACCTTGTGCCTGCCAGGCAGGCGCTTTGCCACTGAGCTATATTCCTGGCCCTAGTTATACATTTTGAAAGCCATTTCTTTGTCAGTGTTTACTTAGGTTGTAAATATTTGCGACTATAGATAATTATGTGATGGACCTTTTGTTTTTGAGACAGGATCTCACTATGTAGTCCAGGCTGGCCTAGAACTCATGGCAATGCTCCTGCCTCAGCCTCCTGAGTGCTGGGGTTACAGGCATGTGTCACCACACTTGCCTGTGATGAACATTCTTATCCAAGTTTATTTTGTATACGTACATGAGTAGATTTGTAAGGTAAATTGTATATCATGAAATGATGGGATCAAAGAACATAAATTTTATTGTGACATACCTTACCATATTGACAACCAAAACCACCAGCACTAATTTGCATTTCCAGTGGCAAATGATGACTCTAAGAACTACCTTGTTATCTTTAATAATGTCAGAAATTATTAAAGTAATTTCTTAATGATCATCAGAAATTACTTTGTAAAATGGACTAGACTAGATGAATTATATGGGCTTTTTTACATTTATGATTGGGGCTGTTTCTAAGTGACAGCTTAAAAAATGCCACTCCTATATTTAAAAAAGATTTCACATGGATGTTTAAGGATATACAGGCTTTTTCACACACAGAGGAAGGAGTTAACTTTTAACCTACCCTATCATAAAATTCTACTTGGCAGTTTTTGTGTTTGGTAGCATTTTTAAAGTCCCAGGTGTGGTGGCCCCTTGCAAACCAAATTTGATAATATATCTTCAGTCAGGTATGAGACCATGTCTGGTGAACGGCCTAGATCCTACTTCACTTGCAACTTTGACTCACAGTTTCCTGTCTTAGTGATGTTAGAATGGTTTCTCAGTGATGTCAGAATGGAGATTAAAAGACCGCACACACTGAAGGACAGCCTTCTGCTGCGAAGCAGGAGGAAGGGTTGGGTAATGCTAGGACGTCTCCAGCTAGTTGCACAGAGAGGGATAAAGGGACATAAGGACCATCACGTCAGTGTCCTTGCTGGTAGGAAATTCTGTCCTTAATATACATTATTTCATTTAAAAGATACTCTCTTTTTTCTTTCTTTCTCAAATTGAAACATGAAGTGTATTTCTTCACCCCTGATAGGTTCCGGTGGGAACTGGAAGGTAAAAAGATGTGATATCCCTAGCCAAGTTTGGCTACTGCATTCAGGCTTCCCACTTCGTTTAACTGAAAGAAAATTTTACTTTCTTCCTTGTGTTTTTTTATAATCAATCTCTCTCTCTCTCTCTCTCTCTCTCTCTCTCTCTCTCTCTCTGGATAGCTCATTGTGCCTTGTAACAGATTTTCTACTTAATGATATACACTAGATTACATCAGTTAAAATGCTTCTGGAGTATGCATGCTTCTCAGAACCTTAATTTGCTTAAAATCAAGACTAGTGAAATTGAATTTTCATTATCTGCATTTAATATCTGTAGTTTATCAACGATGACAATGTGAACTTTGTGTCTTCTGACTGCACCAGTCATGGGCAAAGAGACAGTGTGGTGAGCATAGTTTGTATGCAAACAAATGCGATGACTTAAAACAACAACAGTGTGTGAGCATGTGAAATTTGTTAGAAAGTAAAATTTGTATTTGTCAAAACTGAACCTTTCCTTATTTATGTGACTAATTTGCCTTATGTCATGTTTTTTGAGAATATATGCTCTCATCTCATATATAAAGTCATGTATTGAGGTTTTACTTTTCTTAAGCAAAAAAAAAAATGCTTCTGTCACTATAAGGAACTCATAACTATGGATTACAAATTACACAGTCATATCACTGTCTTTACTGTTGTATTGTAAGCTTAATGTTTATCCATCTGAGACCTGTGAATTTTTTTAACAAGTTACTGAAAGAAAAATTAGGAAATTCTACTCTCAAGACATTCAACTAATTAATAATTACAGGGACAACAAATAGCTATAGTAAAATATAAAAGAATTTCAGGTTATTTTTTTTAAAAAGCATGAAAAAGATTTATTAGAGGAAAATACAGGATGCACTCGACTGGAGTGTGGGTGCTCAAAAGAAATGAGGTACTAGGTTATTCTTTGGTGAAATTGGAAATTATAGCGAGCTGATGGTATTTTTGTTACATTTAAGTTACTGCTTTTATAATTACGTTGTTGAGGATTGTGTGTCAGCTTGAAGCTAGAATAAACCCTAAAGAGGCTATAATTCTTTTAAGAGTAATACAAAATATTTAATATGTCTTCTTATGTGAAAGATTGTAAACTCGAACTTTGTGTTTTCGTAGAGGAAAGAAACACCAAACATTTGTGAGATTTGGTTCCAAAAATTCATCTCATTAAAGCATTTGTTGTCCCTTCACCAACCTGTTAGTGCTTGTGCTCACAGCTGATTATCATGCCTGGCCTTGCTTCCACTTCTACCTGTTAGTTGTGTGAATGGTAGTTTGTTTATATTTACAGTGGAGATGTGTCTCTGTAGATAAGCCTAATATATGGATTAAATGAATTACTATATGGAAACTATCAAAATTCTGAGATTGTAGGTGCCAATAAATATTAGCATATGAGTCTAATTGTTGTGATTATTGTTATTGTGATTTAAAAATATCATTGCTTGGCTATTAGAATTAGCAGAGCTTGATACTGTTAAGCCTATTTTGTTTTTTGTGGGTGGCTTTCTGCATTCCTTTACTCAAGAAGAAGAGTTTTGAAGCAAAGTAAATGGCCAGCTGAGTAAAGAATAGTTAGTGTGGGGGGCTGGGAGATGGCTCAGTGGAATAGCCTGAGTTCAATCCCCGGTTCCACCAGAAAAAAAAAAAGAATAGTGTGGGAGGTAAAAATAATTTATTAATTAAATGTTTATTGTGCCCTTGTATTTTTGGCAACTATGTTAAGTGCTAGGAATGTGGTAAACCAGAACAGATTTCTGACTTTGTGGAGCTTACGTCCTAGTGAATGAGACAGAAAATAAACTTGTAGAGAAAGGAACAAAAAAGAAGGAAATGCCAGGGACTGTGAAGAAAAAACTCAGGTGATATGATTGATAGTGAACATGGAAGGGTGGATATGTATGCGGGTGACTTTGAATGAAGTGGTCAGACTCAGCTTCTCTGAAGAACTGACTTTTGAGCTAAGATCTGAAATGTAGGCACCAGCTGCTTAAAGAGCTAGAAGTAGAACTTATGTCAAAGCTTGAAGTGGAAAAAGAGCTAGATGACTTTGGGGAACCAAAAAGAGCCAGTGGTTTCTTTGCTTATTTTGACCTACATTTCTTGGTCTTGAGGGATATAAAAAAGAGGAAATTGTGGAAATTAGATATAGTAAAGGTATAGTAAATACCCTACAGATACTTTAGTATTCATACTTACATATAAATATTTATGCTTACGAGAGATCTATAATGAATTATAAATTTTATGAAATTTGGTAAAGGCTTTTTATAGTTATTGTCCTAGGAATGGAATGCTTTTGATGAGAAAGTGAAGTGTCTTAAGCTGGATATGCTTGTTTTTAACAGTGAATGACTTTTGTAGCACAGAATTGTAGTTAAAAATTTTTTTTAAATGAATTGTAGTTAAGATTAATAAAAGTCACTAGGAAACTTTGTGTCGCATGTTACTAACTTTGCAAAAGTATAAATAAAACACTTTTGTTGTGGAGAAAAAAAATATATATGTATACACAAGATAGTTAGGATAGATACATAGTTACTTTCTCTTAGTTCAATGAGAAGAAAAGTTTGTACTAATATTGTTTAGACAAGATATCATGTCTACATCTTGTCCTCTGAATAACTGTTACGGAGGCAACAATATGCAATGTAGTAATTATTGTAACTGTCCTAACCTATTTTGAAACTGTTTCATCGCTATTTTTTTCTCATTAGAATGAATAAAAATTATTTCTTTAAAAAAATTAATAAAAGAACTTAAGGACATTTTGAGTTTGCTTCTGAATCACTTTACTTTTCTGATGCAGAAGTTTATTTCATTCTATGATGTTTTATTGTATACCAAAATGACAACAACTTTTCCCCCATTGGCCAATGTTATCTTTTTTTCTCTCTTAACTATTAAAGTATCTTCTTTTTTTTTTGGACTGAAAAGGTTTCTGCTGCTGATTGTTTTAGTCGCACCAGTCGGAGGGGAAGTACTGTCTCTGATGTGGATGATATCAGTATCCCAGATTTGACCAGTGTGAGTGTATTGCATGGAGTGATTATGCAATTTCACGCTTGTGATTAACAGATAATACAGCAACAATTTTAAAATTAGGAATTTAATTTTCTGGCTAGGAAATATTTATTGCTATATACACACAAATGCCATTGCTTTAGAATATATTAATACGTCTTTTTCCATCATAGAACCCGATTAGCAGCTTCAGTAGTGTCTAAGTTACTTTTTACTCATTGTTGGGACAAAATACCAACCCCTAAATTGAAGGAAGGAAAGGTTTGTTTAGCTCACAGTTAGCAGAGGTTTTAGCCTGTATTTTGCTGGCTCTAAGGCAAATGGCAGCAATTTATGGCAGCAAAAGGGCAAAGGAGGAGCAGTGGCTGTGGCTCTATCAAAACTTTTTTTTGTGTGTGTGCTAACTGAAGACCTGTGCTCCATCAAGCTCCTCTGAAATGGGACAGCTGTGAAGTGGTGAGGCACAGAAGTCTTTCTCAACTCCTTCATATACCCTTTTGTGCTGAGTCACTATGGGGCAGGGCCTCTCATGCCCCAAGGTGTGACAAGCTGATCTAGCCAAGCTTCTGGGTCTAGCCAAGCTTTTGATACTGAAAATTGACACAATGTATCAACCACCACAAGTAGTTACCAATGTTTTGCTGATTTTGTTTCATCTGTTTCTTCTTCTTTCCCTTTTTTCTGAATTCCTTTAGAGCAGATTCACACTTTGTCACTTTGTAATATTTAGTTCAGTATGCATCTCAAATAGATTTTTTAGATCTACTATACTATTTTCATACTTAATGTAATAAAATATTAATTCCTTACTAACGTCTAATAGCCCATTTTTAGATATTCCTGATTGATCTTAATTTTTTCATCTTTGTTTTTGGTGAATCTGTAAAGTGATAGGTTGGCTTTAAAAGCTGAATAATATAATACACAGCCTAGTAAAGCATCTTTAATCTGTAATAATTGGGGAGAATCTAAATAGATTATAAACATTTGGATTATGGCATTGCTTTGAAAAAGTATGCCAATCTTGCTTTCATATTTACCGGGACCTCAGTTGAGAATAACTGTCAGCAGAGATAAATGCCCTTTGGGTATTTATCTTAATGAAGGAAGCTCAGTCAGAATATATCTGCTGACCTCATTTTTTTTTGACACCTTGTCTCTGTTACTGGCATAAGTTTTACCCATGAACAAACACTGTCCTAATTGTCAAGTGCTTTGGGAGGAGAGGCAGCATTTATTCCTAAATAGATTCCTGGTTATAATTAGTACTTATTATATAAAATAGCTATTTTTGAACTAGTTTTATCCTAGAAAATAGTTTTGTTTTTTGCAGTCTGTGTTGCTGAGGCTGTGGCCGAAGGTGTTGTCATCCTGCTTTAGCCTTTGTAGTAGCTAGGATTACAGGTGTGTGCCACTATGGCTGTTGTTGGAATTTTAATCTGAGTACAGAAGCTTGAACTCAGGGACTTTTGTGTGCTAGGCAGGTTGTCTACTACTGAGCTACATGCCAGCTCCTTTTATTTTGGGACAGGGACTCAGTTGTCAAGGCTCTAGAACATTCAGTCTTCCTGCATTAGCTTCCCACATAGCTGAAAATAGTTTTAAGTGTGGTACTGAAGCTTAACACAGGAAGATTGCAAATTCTGGTCCAACTGGGATAGGTTAGACCGTGTCTCAAAAAGTTGTTTGTTCTCTTCACTTCTGTGGTTGGGGATTCTTTTTTTTTTTTCTTTGAACTATTTTTGTTTTTTTTTCTTCAAACTATTTTTAAATGGCATTGTAAAGTCAGCACAGGTTGAGTATCCATACTCCTGAAATCTGAAATGTTCCAAAGTCTTAAAATTTTATCATAGATAAGACACCACAGGTAAAAAAAAAAAAAAAAATCCTGGAACTGATGTCATGTGATGGGTTTCAGTCAGAAATCAGAGGGCTGGCCAAATAGCTCAGCAGATTAAAGCACCTGCAGGCAGGTGGAGGGGCCGGTGGTTCGATCTTCGGGCCTGCCATGCTGCCACCGCCCCCAGGGTGCCCTGGGAGGGCAATTGAGACTGGGTGTAGTGGCGTGCCTGTAATCCCAGCTCTTGGGAGGCTGTAAACAGGTGGATCACTAAAAGTCTGTCTGATCTAGTAGTGAAACCCTGAACACCCTGTAGAACCTTCCCTAAAAATACAGAAGCAGAAAAAAAAAAAAGAAAGAAAAGAAAAAAGAAATCAGGTACACCAACACTATTGTACAAAGATATTTTAGGTCTATGTATGTAAGATATATAAGAATGAACTGAATTTTGTACAAATGAATTTATATTTGTACTTGGGGCATCCCTACTCCAACCCTGCTTGCCCAGATAGCTCATTATGTATATGTTAGTATTTTAAAAAATCTGAAATTTGAAACACTATAAGCATTTCCAATAAGGGATATTTAATCTGTATATAAAAATTAGATGTTAACAGAAGGTTAGGGTCCAGTGACTACACTGAACAAACTATACCACAAGTACTTTATTAGACTATAGCAGTGATGGCAAACCTTTTAGAGTTCAGTGATAAACAGCTGGCTGCAACACGTGTGCTATATAGGTTTGTCACCATTGAACTATGTAGTTTTATACCTTACATATACCTAAATTTTAACTCACTTTAATAGCCTTTGTAGAATCTAGCATACTCTTAGTTATCATTGATTTGTCATTGTAAATGGAACTATGTAGACATTGTCACTCTTAAATAAATCCCTTGGGGCTTTTAGAACACACCTAGTTTTTCCTAGCTTTACAGTATACTTTCAGAACTAATAGTTGAAGAGATTCAGGCCAAGTCACTGCAGCCAAAATAACTGGACTGCAGCATGGCTGCTTTGAGCATTTTTGCTGGCTTAACAACTCCTGGAGTTTGGCGCATGATCAGTTTGTATTGCGACAATTACGATTTGTCAGAAGATAGTGAAGACAGCAGAATCAACATTTGTGGTGGCCTAGCTCAGCATGCTGTCTTTGAAATTTAAGATTATTCCACAGTGATGTTCGCCTAACAAATGGGTGAGTTGGGAGTCATTTTTAAAGAGGTGGATATGAGCAAGGATTTCAGATAGAGTTAGAATGTTTTAATTTTGAACGTTGCTTGCTTTTGTTTTTAGGTTGGAAATATGAGGGAAAAGAAAAAAAATATATATATGTATATTATTAGGCAGTGCATTTTACCAGTGCATATTTGAGGGATTATTCCCTTTTATGGCAGAAATTGACAATGTTAAAACTTTCATGTATTGTCATCACTTGTATATTGGAAAGCATTTTTATAGTGTTTTAAATCCAGTGCTGGTATAGTTAGTACCTATAGTAATAGAAGGCATCTATATACATTAAAACTGTCTGGATAGAAAATAGGAGGACATTAGGACAAAGTGATCTAAATAGAGGCAGAAATGTGATCCAAGAGTTGTAATCTGGGTATATTTTATTTGACTAGTGGTAATTGGGATGTATATATAAGTAAACAAACACTGGATCCAACTCTGATATTTGGTAGATGTCCAGCCTTTAACAAAATCTGTCACCTGATATTTTTCCTTCTTTTCAAACACTGTCTGAGAGAACCCTAAGCCCTATCAGTAGAAGATATCTTAACTCAGTCATGGCCTATCAAGGTAACAGGTTACTATGAAACTATTAAATGAGGTAAGTATATAATTTTTGTGTGGTATTACGCATTTATTCATTTATCAGACAAATTTTATGTCCTGTATATTAGGTACTATTTTTGGTATTAGGATTAAAGAAAAGCATGCATAGGTATGGGAGTTATATTAGAGAGACACATCAGACTATAAACAAATGAATAAATACTGTAGTGTCAAGATGTGATAAGTGCTATAAAGAAAAATGAAGTACTTTCCCAAAACTTTCAGACATGGTAATAGGAAAAAGAAGATAAAAAATAAATCTGTGACACTGCTAGTAGGATTTTTTTAAAAAGTAGGCTTTGGTTGCTGTGGTGGGTAGAGTTCAGAGTGTAACACGGTAGTGAGAAACCTATTTTTTATATCCTTCTGTACTATTCAAACGTTTTGCTTTGTGTATTAAATCCATGATATGAGGAAAATAATGATATATGTAACGTGTTTTAGTCCAGTGTGAACTTTTTTGGCTACTAGTTTTATTTACATTTACATATCTTGTGTACTACTAATGCAGTCTTTTGGTTTTTGATTTTATCAGAATTTTCTTTTTGCTATGTCTAATTCTTTGGTGTTGACATTTA